GCAGTGAAGGTAAACCTAAAAGCCAAGCTCCTAACTGGAAGCCTATTACTAAGTAGTGGAGCCCGTTAATTTCTTCCTCAGTCTGTAAAGGTATTTCAGTAATCAGCAAAGAGGCCACATAACTCAATCCAGACTTACCAGGACATTGTCCCTACCAGTACAGATGGTTGAAAAATTTCTGACAAAACATTCTGATTTTTAAGTTGAAACACTGATCAACCAAAACTGGAATGTTTTGGAGCAGTATTTCAGTTTTGAGGACCTTCTGTGACAGAGCAGGCAATTTCCTCTGTCACTGTGCTCAGAAGCTGGGTTTCCAGGATTTGCCACTTTAAAATTCAGGCTTTGGGCAGCCTGTGGCCTTGGTACTTCTTATTTCCCTGCTCAGGCTGAAGGAACCCAGGAACTATGGACCTTCAACTCCACAGTCATGGCACCCTCTGCCATTTCTCCCCTCCACTGCCATCAGGCTAGCCAATAGCCCAAGGAAGTCCCTTTACCTTCAGTAACAACCTCTCTCATGTCAGAAAAATTAGACTGAAAGCTGCAGGTTATAATTTTGTAAAACAGGTTTTGTGCAACTTGGCATCACAAATTTTATCTTTCCTCCTAAAATGTGAATTCCAGGCTTTTACCAGCTCCCCTTGCTAGAAAATCACTACAAGTTTCCCTCCGAGTTTCTTAGGATTCTAGCCCTAATTGGGAACATAGTTTTGATTTTTCCTGCACTGAAGTCAGTGGGGATTTTGCTGTTGACTTCACCAGCGGCCAGCCTGCCCTTATCCTTCATGGATTCCTGTGACTCTACTCTGGTTGTCACTTGGCTAAAAACACTGGTGAAACTGATCCCAGCATCAAGAACACAGTGTGGAAGCTGGTGTCCTCTGTCTGTCTCCTATGAAAATTCAGGGAGTCACTGGAGTCCCCATACGTATGTACATAAGGGTTCATGCCTATCCCAGTAAGTCTTTGGGGCCGACAGACAGCTCTGCATGCCAATGCTTCTTCCAGCACCTCAGAGAGGGCAAACGTGACCAGGCTGCTGCTGCGCTTCCAGGATGCCATCGTGTGCCTGTGCATGAGCCAGGTATGGCTGGGTCCTCACCCATGGTGAACAGCAGTATTATCTGATGCTGTCAAGCAGCAGTATGAGAGGGGATGAGGCAAAATTTTAAGATGAGAGAGTTTTTTTCATTATAAGATTTAAACCATGAGCAAGGACTGAATGACAGTGGCACATCACAAGGTTTATTCTTTAGGCCTTTATCCCTTTTTTCAGTCTAAGTGCATGTGTGGGTTGGTATGTCTTTTTGAGTCTCTATGGAGAGGCAGACAGTAGCTTCAGCATATAGCAGAATGCAGCCATTTTGTGAAATAGGTCACAGCATGGCATTTACTGTTCGATTTCTTCGCAGGTCAACGAAATCTCTGCTGTGCTGGGAAAGGACTTTACAGTGACTCCTTCCAAGCTTGTTCAGTTTGATCCAGGTATGAAGCAGTACACTGAATAATTTAACAATGAGTTCACTGATTGGCACATTAGACTGCAATCAATAAATTGTGAGAGAAAGGAGCAGAAAAAGACCCTGTCCAGGTTTATTGGTCTGCTGACAGCTTCTCTTGGCTAGACGATTCATACAGGAAAGGAGCAAGGAAATAGAGGTTATGAAAAGTGTCACAAGGGTGCAGAGATTTTTTTTTTTTTTACAATGTTGTGCATGTATCTTTGACATTCATTTTGGATGTCAGCACCGACTTTGTGATGCAGAAACAGTTCCCAAGATGTTTTGTTGACAGCAATGTGTACGTTGAGATCTGTTTCTGTCCTGCTGCCTCTGACTTATTGTCAACAAATTTTGTAGACTTGTGGGTAATAACCAATGTAGTCCTTTATCTTGAAATCTTTTCTCATTTCCATAAAACAAGCCTGAAGTTACCCTGTAAATGCAAGTAACCAAGTAAAAATTTTGTAACCAAGTATAAAATCTACCTAAAAGGTTGTACTTAAATCTAACATAGTCTTTTATCAATTTGCAGTTATTTTAGATGACTGTTCTCTCTAAAATTAAGCTTTCAAGATAAAAAGCATATGATACATTTTATCCTGAAAATTGCAATGGAAGTCCTAAATCTATCTATTGTAGTGTCATTTTCCACATCCGCAGCAGCTTTTTGTTACAGTGTATGCACTTGAACTGAATCAACGTTTCCCAGGAATAAATTCGAACTTAATGTTATTTGGGCGAACAGCAGGAGTCCAGTCAGTTAGTAGGAGCACAATAGCATACACCAGCTACTCCATTCTAGCTGCAGACATGTTAATTAATATATTTCTTTGACACCCCAATTGATTGAAATCGCACTTAAAGAGTAATTAAAATGTTTATTTCTGTAAGGAATGTCAACCAAGACGTGGAGTATAGCAATTACCTATGATGGATTAGAGGAAGATGATGAAGTCTTTGAAGTAGTTCTGAACTCCCCTGTGAATGCTGTTCTTGGCACCCGGACAAAAGCTGTAGTGAAAATTTTGGACTCAAAAGGAGGTACTCTCTTTTGATCTTCATCATTAAGAAGGTGGGACAATCTTGGTTGAGTAGCTACTTATTTTCAACTGCAAGTTGTTCCTAACACTCAGATTAAAATGCTTAATTACTTTTTTGAGCGAACAGGCTTGACAGTTCCAGACTCTTTCTTCTCTCATGCAATCATATTCATCCTCAGGAAACACAGCATGGAGAAAGCAACAAGTACGAAATGAGAAGGGTGCAAGGAAAGAAGCCACTTTTCATAACAACAAGAGTTCAGTTCTCATTTATTAAAATGGGGAAAAAATGTTTTTTAGGTCCATTAGAATCTTTTTTTATACAGTTATTGTATGACAGTTGTTATATACTTCCGAAAAAAGATTTATTTTCCTCTCAAAAAAGAAGCCTAACAGCTAAACCCACCTCTTAAACATACATTTTCTAATGCTTAACAAACACAGTCCACAACATTACAGCACACAGCAATGATCATTACAGAGTTTAGGTTTTATGCCTGTATTATTATTATTATGTTTTTCAATGATCAAATGTGGTGTGCCTAAAATCACACCAAAAAATAAGCAACTGTAGAAAAATACAGATAACTAGCAAAGCAGCTGAGTCCTATCAAAGCTGATGAGTGATTTTTCTTCTGGTGCTTAGTGAAACAATATTTTAAATACTTGTGTTGCAATAAATTAGGCCTAATTTTACAAAAACCTCCTTTTAAAATTTCAGATCTGTTCTCTCTTTAACATTCATAATGTAAATCAGGAGTTAATTGACACAACTAGCTTGCAGGAACAATAGCATCCTGGATTTCTGAAGAGAAAATTGTCTGGGCATGATGGAGGTATCACCATTATCAGTCAAAGACCCTTGTCTATCCATGACCAAAAGAACAGCACTCCAAACCCCAATCTATGCATGAAAACAGGTATTTTCAGCAGATGCTTGGCTGAAATTCTGATCTGTGGGTAGACAGATGCATTACATATAAAAACATACATATACAGATAGTAGTTGCAGTCATAGTCATAGCAAACCCCACAAATGAGGATGACTGAACAAATAGCAAATCAACCACATCAAGTGAAAGAATCATCCAACTCTTAATGAAAGGCTGTTTATGTGCCCATGTCAACATGACCACTTATCTGCTCATGCAGTTAGAACTGACCATCTGCCATTTTTTATGCTTTCAGGTCAGTGCAGCTATTCCCATTCCTCTGGCCAAAGCCAGCACGACTTCTGGGGGAGAGGCACACTGTTTCCAGTTTCCTCGGGCTCCTCATCACCTCCCAGGCCTGGCACTGCTCCCTTGGAAGGGATCCCACTGCCTCCTTCCAAAGGGATGAGAGAGCATGGAGGGGACCCACGGCAGGAACACAGCTTGGTGAATCAGTCAAGGACTAGGCTGAGAGTGATTGGAAATGGCAGACTAGTAAGGCACTTCTGTAGTGCAGCAATGGACTGATTTGTGAATTCATTGGGATTCAATATCTTCATTTAGTCGTCATATTTTTCTAGTGATCCTACCTGACCGTACAAATAACCACATTACTTGAGTCTGCTTTGAGTCAGACCTGAGAGCTATTTAAAAATACGAGGGGTGTGTGTGTGTGTGTGCGTTGAAAATATTCTTAGTTTGAAGATGCATGTATACAAGAGAGGAAGAAAAAAAAAAAGTTAGGGGGGCGGGACATGCATCAAGCAACTTCAGTGATAATGCAGCTTCTAATCTTGTCTAAATTATGGGTCAGCTAGAAGAAAGAATTCACTGGAGCCAGGCCAATTGATAGAAACTGTGCATCTGCTCTGGCAGTTGTAAATCTGAAAATACTGTTAGCTTAAACAGGGAATAGTTAGTTAAAACCTGCCCATCACTTTTCCTGCTTAAGCTACAGTGGTTTAACCTGGTGGTTTAGTAACATTCTGCTACTGTGATCTTGCAAGTTAATGGAATCTGTTTATAAACACACTTGTAATGTGTGATTTTTAATTGCTGTTTATAGAGATGATCCGTTTCTTCTCTGAAAGAGAAAGAACAAAACCCAAGATATGTTCTTCATTTGTAACCTAGATCTTGTAATAAGCCTTGCATAACGTCTTTTTGTTTCTATAATGCATTAACATGCCCATCTTCTTCGGCTGTTTTACCATTTTCAGGTCCAACCTTCATCTGTATTTAGAAACGGAACTGATGTGGTTTTCAAAGTAAGAGTATTACTATAAGTACTGCTCAGACATTTCTGTGATTTCTTTCTGATTCTGTTCTTTCCAGGCTTTATCACTGTTAATAATTCATTGTGTCCAATACTTTTTTTTCTGTGTATCTTCCTTTTTCTTTGGTGCCACTTCCCCTTGATTTGAAACAATTTGTATTATAATGTCTTTTTTGTGAGAGTGTGGAGTTTGAGTTGCTTGTATGGGCTAACCCTCTCTTTTCCCTCTTCTGTTCTGCTTGTGTCTATGTCATACTGCAAAACGAAGTATCACGGGTTGGTATCACTCAAAATAGAGGATGACACCTCATCAGCTAAAGCAAACAAGCAGGCTCAAGTGTCAGTAATTAGCCAAGCACAACCACAGATAAATGTCTCCTCCAGGAAGACAGAAATCCCACAAGCTGATAAGGCAGAACTGGCATCTGAACCAAGCTCAAGACATCAGGTATGAAACCTTTTGTTTCATAGGCATTTTCACCATCTGTTTTCAGTCATGCTGTTTTCCAAAATGATTTAACACCTCTGAGATCTGCAGCTTAACCCTTCCCACTCCAAAGCTGAGTTTAACCAGTACAGAGGTAAATTAACAACTCGGCTTTTACAGAGTTTTAATGTCATAAAGTTTTAATATAAGGCCTGTTTAATCTGTTTCATGTGTCTTGTTTTGTCTAAGTATTTTCCTTCAAGTGTCAAAATGACGTTTCTCTTCACAGGACTTTCACTCTTTTCCAAAGGCCTGTACACCAGATTTAAAGGGGCTCTTGCATTATGAAGAAAGCACTCAAAAGTTATTTCAGTGTGATGGGATAATATGGAAATTCTGGAATTCCCAAAGCAAGGTAAAAATGTCACCATGACTATACATCTAAATCAGGGCATGGAGTTTATGATCAGTGAGACCCTCAAGCAAAGGACCTTCCTGTAAATACTATTAACTTATACAGAGAATAAAAGAGTTGTCCAGAGTCACATTTGCTGTCACCAGTAAAGAAGATTCCCAGAGACACGATAAGGGCTTCACCACAGCGCTTGCCTTGCATCTCTGTCACCCATAGGCGCTTCTGGATGAACCATGCGAGCACTGATGTCTTGGTACTGGTGGGGACGTGGGCATAAGACAGTCAGTGAACAAAGTCTGTGAAAGAATGAGCGGGAGTTATTAAAATTAGCTCACTTGGGTATTCTGTAAGCGTACATCCCCTCTGCCATGTAAGGTGTCATGCTGAATTTTGTTGCACTGCATTCCGTACACAGACCGCAAGAGGCAGAAAATGGTGTCCAAACTAATGTGGTCTCTTTAAGAGAGTTTTTGAAACTGAAACCTCATGTCAGGTTTAAAGCTACTCATTACAAATTGTAGGCTCCTCTGGCAGGCATTTATTTCTTTGTATCTTTTAAACAGTGCTGTAGCTTTGCTGATGCACACCAAAGTTCATGTTCAATTTAGTTCTGTGGAGGGCATAAGCAGCACCTCAGCCTTCTGTCTATTAGCGCACAGACCTAGATCACTGTAAGCAAGCGTCTGTTTTGCCTTTCCCTCTTCTATTTCAGGAGGCAAGCACGAACAAATGTCCCTCTGAGTGGCGTCATCACGGGGGCAGCTGCTACCTCCTGGTAGTGAATCACAAGGTCACCTGGAACACTGCCGCTCGGGCTTGCAGAGAACAGTAAGAGACTTCTCCAAGAGTGTGTGTTTGCTGTGCACTGCTGCTGCCCTGAGCCGAACGCTGCTCTCGAGGCCACGTTTATTCAGATAAGCCCTACTTTGGCTGTGCTGCACAGCTCCCCAAAAAAATGCAACAAGCCCTGGGATTCAGACCCAGTGGAGGACAGAAATACCGTTAGTCTCATCATGTTTCAGGTGGTGACACTACCTTATTCACAGCATGAATTCCCAAAGTTGTCCATATGCAGTAAGGATGCTTTCCTAGTGGGAGAGTTAGTTTGGGAGAAATGAAGACTCAGTCTTTCATCCTCTCTGACTCACCACATTCTTGGCTCTACCTTCACTTGTTATAGCCATAGTACAATGTTGGCAGCCCCTATGTGCCTCACCATATTCTTCTGAAGATGTAGCTCTTCAGATTCAGTAACCACTTGAAAACTTTAACATTCAAATTAACAGTAAAATTATGATTTTAAAGGATAAATAAAAGCTAATAAATAATAATAGTTGTCTAAAAGTAGGAGACAAATAGAAAATCCACCAGTCCTGCCCTTTGGAGGCCTGCTTTGTGATTTCGGTTTTAGGAGTGACAGCTTAGGGCTGAAAGAAATGCTAGGCATGGTAACATGGGGCTTGCCCTGGGATCATGCATGTTCTGTACCTTGTGTTGAATTGTGAGTGCCAGGTGGAAGACCAAGCTGCACAGTAGGAGGGGCTTTAACACACCTCTCCATTACTCCATTAAATGAAAACTGAAACAGGGAAGAGTTGGAGATGAAAGAAACAATATATTCCGTAAGTGGTTGAAGGACACGTAGGAAACATGAAGCATGGACAAGCATGGACAAGCATGCATAACAAACCTGATTCATTCCACTGTTGCCAGATTATGTTGTCCTGGCAACAAGCACAAGGAAAGTCTTGGTTCTAATACCTCCCAGCTGATAGAAGTTACTCTTTACTGAAATGTAAATGCTACCTGCTTTTGTGAGCTCACCACAGATTTCACATCGTTAATTGGTTTACTTCATATTTCGGCTCCTGAAATGGTTTTCTATTACCTGCTTTTATATTGTTACTTCTCCAAAAAAAGCCATAAGTTCTGAATATTCTAATATTTATTCTCTGAAGGCTTCAACATTCAGTTGATCCCTTGGGAACATATGTCACTCTGCTGGGAGGTGTTCCCCATTTCCTAAAAAAATGTGCTCCTGGTGACCCATATTATTTGTAGGTGATAACTTCTTGCTGAAGGCTATAGTGTGCAATGTAGATGTTAAACTGAATAACAGTAAATTAATGACAGTGTTAAACACCTACACAAAAAGTCAAAGCACATCACTGGATCCACAAGCAGCTGAATCCTAGGGCAGTGATGATTCGATTAATGTCAGACTACCACAGACTAAGGAAGCTTTGTCTTGGTCACTGGAGTACTCCTGGCCTCCATCTGCAACTGATTTACGAAAGTACAAACCCAGACACACACTTAAAAGTGGTACAAGACGATAACTCAATAAATTTCGTTTTGTGCTTTTGCCCAGCTTCCCCCCCCCGCCCCCAGCAATAACTACCACCACCAACTGTGGTATTTCTGTTATTAATAGTTCTACTGTTGACATTTAACTAGCTGATAGTTCCAACAACGAAATAAAATCAGAAGGGAGGTCAGTCCTGGTTTTTAATAGATCAAACAAATGTTAGACATTAAATGAAAAGACAAGAATTGACTTTCAGTAAATCAGCAAATTTCACTCAAAAATAAGAATCATTTTTATTACTATAAAAATGAGATTATTATTTAGACCACACAGCCCGGCACACGCAGTCCAGGAGGTTCCTACAGAGCATCAATGATAAATTTCTGATGCAAGTGGTGGAGGAGCCTACGAGTAGAGGCATGCTGCTGGGCCTTGTACTAACAAACAAAGAGGGACTGGTTGAGGATGTGAAGGTTGGGGGCAGCCTCAGCTGCAGTGACCATGAAATGGAGAACTTCAGGATCCTGTGTGGAGGAAGCAGGGCAATAAGTAGGATCAAACCTTGGACTTTAGGAGAGCTAACTTTGGCCTCTTCAAGGACCTACTTGGAGGAATCCCGTGGGCCAGGGCTTTAGAAAGTAGGGGGTCCAACAGAGCTGGTCGCTGTTTAAACATCACTTCCTCCATGCTCAGGAGCAATGCATCCCCCTGAGAAAGAAATCTAGAAAAGGAGGCGGAAGACCCGCATGAATGAGCAAGGAGCTTCTAGAGGAGCTCAGATGGAATAGAAGGGTACATGGAACATGGAAAAAGGGAGAGGCCACTTGCGAGGAGTACAGGAACTTTGTCAGAGCATGCAGGGATGCAACGAAGAAGGCCAAGGCCCACCTGGAAATGAATCTGGCAAGGGATGACAAGGACAACAGGAAGGGCTTCTTCAAGTACATCAGCAGCAAACAGATGACTAGGGACAATGTGGGGTCGCTGCTGAATGAGGTGGGTGTCCTGGTGACGGAGGATATGGAGAAGGCAGAGTTACTGAATTACTTCTTTGCTTCAGTCTTTAGTGCTAAGGCAGGCCCTCAGGAATCCCAGGCCCTGGAGGTAAGAGAAGAAGCCTACAGAGAGGATGATTTTCCTTTGGTCAAGGAGGACTGCGTGAGGGATCATTTAAGCAATCTGGACGCCCACAAATCCATGGGCCCCGATGGAATGCACCCACAAGTGCTGAGGGAGCTGGCGGATGTCATTGCTGAGCCACTCTCCATCATCTGTGAAAAGTCCTGGAGGACAGGAGAGGTGCCCGAGGACTGGAGAAAGGCCAATGTCACTCCAGTCTTGAAAAAGGGCAAGAAGGAGGACCCAGGGAACTACAGGCCGGTCAGCCTCACCTCCATCCCTGCAAAGGTGATGGAACAGCTCATTCCGGAGATCATCATTAAGCAAGTGGAGGAAAAGAAGGTTATCAGGAGTAGTCAGCATGGATTCACCAAGGGAAAATCACGCTTGACCAATCTGATAGCTTTCTACGATGGCATGACTGGTTGGGTAGATGAGGGGAGAGCCGTGGACGTTGTCTACCTTGACGTCAGCAAGGCTTTTGACGCTGTCTCCCATAACATCCTCACAGGGAAGCTGAGGAAGTGTGGGCTGGATGAGTGGTCAGTGAGGTGGATTGAGAACTGGCTGAATGGCAGAACTCAGAGGGTTGTCATCAGTGCCACTGAGTCTAGTTGGAGGCCTGTAGCTACTGGGGTTCCCTAGGGGTCAGTACTGGGCCCAGTCTTGTTCAAATTATTCATCAGTGACCTGGTTGAAGGGACAGAGTGTAACCTCAGCAAGTTTGCTGATGACGCAAAACTGGGAGGAGTGGTGGATACACTGGGAGGCTGTGCTGCCATTCAGCGTGACCTGGACAGGCTGGAGAGTTGGGCCGAGAGGAACCTGATGAAGTTCAACAAGGGCAAGTACAGGGTCCTGCACCTGGGGAGGAACAACCCTATGCACCAGTACAGGCTTGGGATGGACCTGTTGGAGATCAACTCTGTGGAAAGCAACCTGGGAGTGCTGGTGGATGACACGGTGACCATGGCCCAGCAGTGTGCCCATGTTGCCAGGAAGGCCAAAGAGATCCTGGGGTGCATTAAGAAGAGTGTGGCCAGCAGGTCGAGGGAGGTTCTCCTCCCCCTCTACTCTGCCCTAGTGATTCTGTGAAAAAAGACTGACAGAACTGGGTTTGTTCAGCCCTGACAAAAGAAGGCTTAGGGGAGACCTTATCACCATGTTCCATTATTTAAGAGTGTGGCTACAAAGAAGATGGAGACTCCCCTTTTACAAGTAGTCACATGGAAAAGAAGAGGACTAATGGGTATAAGTTACTCCTGGGGAGACTCCAATTGGAGGAAAACTTTTGACAATGGGAACAATCAGCCATTGGAATAATCTCCCCCAGGAAGTGATGGATTCCCCAACATTGGACACTTTTAGGATTCGGCTGGACAGGGTGCTGGGCCACCTTGTCTAGACAGGGCTTTTGCCAAGAAAGGTTAGAACAGATGATCCTTGAGGTGTCTTCTAGCCTGGTATTCGACGATTCTATGATTCTATTCCATCAAAGCAATGTTATCAATTCATTGCAGAAGCAATTGTCATCTCCACATAACTATATGTACATGGGCTTATGCAAACCTATTTGGGCTTCTAACGACCTCTGACATACATTGCATCTGTTTGTTGCAGGTGGCATACCAAACTTTTCTTCAGTTTCCATGTGCCAGGATAGAAGCAAAGACAAAAATGTGCTTGTCTTGACTTAAGACGCTGTATGTCATGGTGATACTGTGGGTGGAAAAAATCTCAGCTCATTGCTGTGAAAATCTTGCACCATTTCTAACCATTCTCCAATACACTGGAAAGAAAGGATGTTTAAGAACTCATTTCTCTAGCTTTGTTTTGCATGTATGAAGAGGCCCTTGGCAACACAAAGAGAAGCATCTGGGGGATATTACGGCTGAGTGATCCCACAGCAGCCTGATTTAGCAGCAATTTTGGTGATTCATGTCACAGTTCTTTTTTATCCCATAGGAACATGTTCTCCCCAAGGGTCAGCGCAGCAGGACTCTCTCGCCTGTGGGATGGTTTCACTGCTGCCACTGTAAGGACTCTCCACTGGATAGACAACTGGCTTTGTTAGTCATGTCACACCTTCCTCTTCTTGAAGTTGAACATTTAATTACAGCTTGAATATGGTCAGATTTCAGATCCTTTACTGCCAGATTTGTAAGGCAGGGGCTGTTATTTTGTTTGATGTTTGTATATTAGCAGCATGTGGCCTCAGTCCTTGGGAATCACAATCAAAAGCACATCTAAAGTAGTAGGTTAGATCCTTCACGATGGCTCAGCGTTGCTGAGGGAGCTGGGCTTGTTCAGCCTGAAGAAGAGAAGGCTGCGAGGGGACCTAATAAATGCCTATAAATATCTGAAGGGTGGGTGTCAGGAGGATGGGGTCAAACTCTTTTCAGTGGTGCCCAGTGACAGGACAAGGGGCAACGGGCACAAACTGAGGCACAGAAAGTTCCGTCTGAACATGAGGAAGAACTTCTTCACTCTGAGGGTGACGTAGCACTGGAACAGGTTGCCCAGGGAGGTTGTGGAGTCTCCTTTTCTGGAGATATTCAAGACCCGCCTGGACAAGGTCCTGTGCAGCCTGCTGTAGGTGACCCTGCTTTGGCAGGAGGGTTGGACTAGATGACCCACAGAGGTCCCTTCCAAACCCTACTATCTGTGATTCTGTGATTCTGCCTATAGCAAAGTGGGATGGACCTGCTGCCCTCTTCTCCTAAGGCTAGTGCTAGTTCTGCAAGTGACTGGTTTAACTTATATTCTTGCTGGTGACTCCAGCATAGGGATTCAGGTACCTGAGTCATTTCAAAGGCCCTGTGTATCTTGTCTGACTCTCAACTGCCGCTCTGGAAGCACAGGGCTCCTGAAAGCTCTGCATCATGTCTGCCAGCCTCATCTGAATGTTATGAATACTGCAAGGCATTATAAGCAACACTAGACACCTATTTCCAGGCACCAGGATTACTCCCTAGGTAATCAAACAAAAGCCTGGGATAAGCAGAGCCTCTCGGTCACTACCCTCCTTCACCATCAGTACAGGACATGGATTTACTATAGCAGTTTAAAATAAACGTCCTCCTGCACTGTGGAGACCTTCATAGCTAGGCAAGTGTGCTTTTGCTGAAGTGAGATTTATCAGAATGGTAGAAAGCTTCTCTAAACGTATTGGATTATTTAATGTAAAAGCAGCAAAGTCTTTGTGCTAAGTGTTTTGCATATAATACTTCAAGGCCAAAGGCTAGCCAAAATATTTCCTTAGTTCGGGCAATTGCTCTAAGAGGACGGATGCTCTTCACTTGAGAGCAAAAATTTTGAAGCACACAGGCATAATTTCAAATGGACCTATTTAGCACAAAAATCAGTGATGTGTGTGGTTTTGGTTTTGTTTTTTTTTTTCAATAAGGCATTATGACCCCTTCTCCAGAGCAATTTAAATTAGGAAGTGCTAGATTTACATAACTCCATAAATAACATTATCTTGTCATTTCCTGCGTCTGGCGCTCTGCCTAGAGGTACAGTTAGTAATATTATCATAAGCGGCATGTTCCTTTGGGACTGTACTCATTTCCCCATGTGTGTTTCTCAGGCAGTAGTTAGAAAGCACTCCTATGGAGAAAAGATTAGATAACGTTATAATTATTGCAGTGCTTTCCTGTCACCGTGCTGAAGTCTCTCCCTGGTACTCACACTGAAGTAAAAGTCTGAAACTGCTACAGCTCAGACCACCCCTGTATGTCATAAATGATATAGCAGTTACTGATACACATTGATGCTTTTTGTTATCACATTTCCTAAAACAGTTGAAACAACAGGGGTAACCTATGCTCACTTAAAGTAAACAACTTAGTTCTAGGGCTTTGATTGTCCTTAAGCAGAAGCCAGATAAAATGCTCTATTTTTGTTCTTGCTCAGCTCGTAGTCATACCACAGAGGCTACTGCCCAAATCTCTTCTTAGCCTCCAGTTTGGCCAGTGGCCAACCACAGTCACTGTGAGGGGCATTGGCATCCTGCCGCTGAACCAGTTACCCTGGGAGGACAACCTGCATTAACTGAACCTGCTTTCCTGGACCTTTTGTCTGAGGAAGAAGATGGAGTACAAAACCTTCCAAGAGCTTTTGTCAGTGTAACAGCTTTGTTCCTGGTTGACTGCAGATTTGGTGCCTGGTAGATGGGCCCAGAAGTGTGGAAGCGTGTCACACTGGGGACATACAGTCCCCAACACCACGCACAAAACTTGATTGTGATGAGAAGCACAGTCAAAGGCTCTGCTGGGAGCTTCACTGGGTGAAGTTTTGAAAGCCTGTACCATAAGCGGGTGCACAATCCTGACCACGTCGCACTGGGACAGTCTGCCATTGTAAAGTCACAATCAATATTTCCAAGGTTGTCCTGCCACCCCTCCACCTAAGAAGAGCTTGCACGGACATCAGCGAGACCCTTTGCACTTTGTTCTCCGGTGGCCCCTGAACTTGAGGGGCCCTTGATGGGACCTACGTTACTGTGCGGTGCTTGGTCTAGGGCAGCCATGAATACACAGGCTGTGAGGGCTAACACCCAGCTCTCCTGCCGGCTTCCGCAGACCCACCGTGCAGAGCAGAGCAGGTGGCGAATCCCCTGCTGCTTTGGTTGACTCTAGCGATAATGGAGAAGGCCTTTGCAGCAGGAGCACCCTGTCAGTATTACAATGAATTTGTTCCATACCATGTCCCTGTGTGCCCAGATTAAGGAGTGGTCCAGTCTTTGTGCAATAGGGACTGTGAAGAATATTGTGGGGTATTACTTTGAATTCCTCCTGATGTAAAATGTGCCTGCTTCCCTGTCTTGTGTGGCGTTACAAGATGGCATCCACAGGATCCATACTGTCAGAAAAGATACAAAGCAGCAAACAGGAACGGAGCTCCAGACACAGGTCTCTAACTGCGCAGCAGGCTTGGTGGTGGGCTTACGCCTAAGCACCTGTTCATGGTCTCCATAGTGTGTTCAAGTCTGCCATGCCACCCTTGAGGTCTCATTGTTCTCCCAGCTCTTGAAGAAGATAGTCTTTATGTTCTTTGGAGCAATACCGATACTCTGTTATCTGGCAACAGTCATGGAATTAGCAAAATGCTCATACTGCCATTGACGCCTTCTGCTGCCAGAGGAGTTTTTGCCTCCCTTACAACATGTTTTGATGAGCAGTGTGGTTTGCTTGGGCCCTATCAAGCATCACCCAGGATGTTCTGGGAGGCTGAAGGGTTTGGCATCACTGTTTGACTGAGTGGCAGTCAGAAATAAGGGACACCAGAAATGACAGTGGCTCAGCATCAGAGGGAAGGCAACAGCAGGTGTGACAGGTTAAAAGGTGACATGATATCAAGCGGGGCAAAAAGATGGATAAATACGAAAGTGGCTGACAGTTCCTGGCAAATACTATTCAAAATTTTAGTTTTATGAGAACACAATTTTTGAAAGATATAGACTGCTCTGCTACCACATGGATGAAGCTGTATTGTTCAGTGGTTTGGAGTTTAATCTGGGCATATTATTATTTTAAAGAAAGGAATGTATCAATGCTTGTGTCAATGGTTTAAAATACAGTTTGTGAATATGAGGTACACATTCCCTGTATACACTTCTTTCAGTTGCCCAGCTGATTTAATTCCTCTGTTAGAAAAATCAGACTAGGACTTTAGTTCCCCTCCAAGTAATCAAAAATTTTAAGACTTCATCTTCATGTAATTATTCTTTCCTGCCAGTAAGTAGTGGTTTTCCTGTGAAACATTAGTTGCATGCTTTATACTAGAATCAGTGTCCCTTGCTGATAAGTCGATGGGAGACGTCTGTCACTCTGTGGAATGCTAATTACTCTGTCCTCTCTCCTTGAGCCTAGATACCTGGGGAGTCTAGCAAGTGTGGCTAATGAACAACACATGCAGTGGCTGTGGGACTTCAGCGGGAGGAAGCCCTTTTGGATAGGTGAGTACCTCAGCTGACTGTCCCCTCCGAGGATTAGAGTTCCTCTGCACCCTGGAAAGCAGAAACTGTCGCGGCAGCTCCAGCCTCGTTTTCAGATGTCGCATTGTCCTCAACCTTCTGCTGCTTTTATTACTTCAGAGCAAGGCATTAAACTGAAAGCCATAATTCACCTGGCTATCTTCATAAGTCTTTATCAAGAAGAAGAGTTTATCATGTCGCCTATTGCTGGGCTGATTATGCCTTGAAATCTTCTCTATTCTAACACTAGCTAGGAAAATAAGTTCTGATGGAGCTCCTGCGCTTTTGTTTATCTCAACTTTCTTTTGACTGTTACTTTATTTATCTCTAACTTACCTTGTTTTAAACTTTACTTCAAAAAATTATTTATGTTACTGCTAATTTAATGGTGTCATCTTGTATCAGAAATCTTGTGAACTAACTAGATGATCAGTTAAAGAAGATTTAATCACATCATTTTAGATTTCGCTATCTATTTCTTCTCACACACCTTTCATTTCGTGAGAAATGGAAAGAACTCAGACGGGCCTTCTCTGTACCTCCTGATCCCTTTCTGTGAATGACTGCCTTAGTCATGGACTAGTGCTACTGCTTTCTTCTAACCTGCCTTGTTTCTGCTATACCGTCCACATTTTAGGTTCTTTTTTCCAATTGTGAACTGCAATTTTCAGCTCTTAGTAATCTTCTGAGATTAATTTACTAGCTATACTAAATTAACTCTAAAAACTACAGTTAGTTTGGGATCATGTTTAACAGTTTAATGTTTAATGTTAACCATGGTTCTGTTAACCTGAGAGAAATAAACTCTTCTGATAAGAATAAAGACTACAAGACCATTGTGTCAATCTTCTGACCTTGGTCTCTTCTAGTTAAGAAGACAGGTCATGTCAACCATGTTGGTCTTAGTAACTCAGAGGCTAAGTGAAAAGACGTGTTTTAGTTTGTATTAATTAACACTACCTAATTTTACAACTGTTAATTTCAACAGATCTGCAGGATTTTATTTTCAGAACAAATCTGAAGGCATCTGAGGCTGCCCAGACTTCAATATAACATTCGGCTTGGCATCTTAAGTATCAAAAGAGAAACTTGGCAGGAGATAGACATGCAATAGATGGAAAGAGAAAACATTTTAGATAGGCAATAATGAGGAAAAGTATATTTTCCCTTATTCAGATGGCACTAATTGCCTTACGAAATATTAAATTGTATTTTACTTGTATTCTTCCAGATGTTTTTTTCTCTCAGCACAATATTGTATGCATTTCCTAACAAAGGGATAGAACAACATGCTTCTGTTGGCATCAGGCTCCACAGACAATAAACATCACTGATTTTGTCTTACTGATTTCACACAGGCTTGAATGACCAAGTCAATCCTGGACTTTGGGAGTGGAATGGAGGAGAACCTGTAACCTATGTAAACTGGAGAAGAGGCTCCTACCACTTTCCAAAGAGAGGAAGAAATTGTGTGTTGGTGCAGAAGCGAGGAAAATGGCAAGCAACTGACTGCACGAAGGTCAAACGGAATGGCTATATATGTTCAAGAAAGCTGTAAAGAATGGAGGATCCCTGTGAAAGCATGTGGACATACACGTTGTTTCAGTTTTATTTATCTGTAGACATGTGAGGCTATGCAGTTAGAAAAGCGTCCTAATTATCAGCAAAGTTTATTTTACATGCTGCCAGAGGTGCAGATGCATTGGAGTCTACCCAACGAATAGAGGTCAGTTGCAAAGAGTAAGTCCAGGTTAAGGTTTTGAACTGTCCCCAAAGACTTTGATCTCTCACTTGTATGTATTTTTACACCAAAGAGCTAGGCCTGAAGGCTTCCATCACATTTTCGTGTAAAAATACCTCATTTTTTTAACAGAAAATAGCACATCAGCTGATTTGCTTCAGTCTTAAGGAGCGGGTGTGAATTGGCTGTTGCTTTAATTTGTTTGTAATAAAAATTGCAGTTTTATCCTGCAGTCACAAAAAGAAGAAGATTGCTTGGGGTGGAAATGAGGGCAAACTCTGCTGGCTAAAACCAGGTTCCTTTGGGTGACGAGGGGAAGGACATCGCGTCAGGAAACTGGAGCTTCTTTGGTGGATGCCCTAGTACAATACCTATGAGAATACCAATGGTAGGATTTAGTGACAGAGTACCAACAGGAGTAAAGCCTTGTATTTCTTTTTCTACCTCCCAAGGCCAGCTTCAGATCCTGGTGGATCTGCTCACACAGAGCTACATATTTTTTTACATTCCTAACCAAAATTGTTCAACATTTTTTGAAGTTGCAGAATGGTGCTGAAATTTTTAGTGTAATTAATAGGACATCTGTAAGTCTAATGCTATATAAAAAACTTGATACCGAAGCTTAATCCTAGAGTATTATCTTAGCATATTTAGTGATACATGAACATCATTAGGATTTATATGTGTGTATAAACCAATGTAATCATGAGATGTATTTTGTTCTAAAGCAGCTATGGCTTTTGAAAAGTATTAACCTAAGTCCTTATTAGGCATTTGAGGTTTTTTAAAATAATAACAAAAAATCCAGATTTAGTTCTGGGAAAGGCTTAAAAATTCGCATTTAATAAGAAAAAACAGCTGCCCATAACTTAATTTTAACTTACTTTAAATACATGCGGTTGCAGTGTTACCAATTTGTAACGTTATTGTAAATTTATATTTGAACTGTCAAAAATCTTCCTTTAGGACCTTTTTATTGTCAGCCTTAAAAAAAAAGAAAAAAGTCATAGGCTTCCTAAAAAAAAAAAATCAGAGCTCCTCTCAAACCCTTCCTCTGGCTATGATGAATGTGTGACAGTTGGTGTGGCACTGAGTCGGGTGAATTTGCCCTTGTGTACCTTACGGACACCCATCCCTCCCATCTGCCTGCCTGCTGCCAGCAGTTGATACTCCCCTCATCCCCTGTCAGGTCCTTCATTCAGCCAGCCTCTAGATCAATTGCCTCCGTACACTGTTTGCACTAGAGATGCAGAACTCCTTCTGGGGTTCCTCGCAGCAATTTCTCAGTCCTGTGAGGGACAGATGTAGCAGAATCACCTCTCCTCTCTGGGCTGAGGGATGCTGTTCCAGGGATATTTATCCCTTCTCCTTGCCTTTGGCATTTGTGGGTTATTTATCCTTCCTCCTCGCCTGTGACACATTAAATGAATATGCATGTGAGTAGCTGGACAGTCTTTATATACAGGCGAGAATCTTTCTGAAAGGACTGTTGCAGATAAGAACAAGCGCACTGCAAAACTTCAGGAAAAGTACTGCGGACAGAACCTCATCACCCTTACTGTTGGTATCAAGAGACACAGGCCAAAATATATCCAGGATTTCCTTTTTTCTTTTGCCATGGTAATCTTTATGCCAAGCATCTAGAAACTTTTGCTGGACACTAACACTTTTGCTTAAGCAGTTTTTACATCAACATAGCTACACTAACTGTTTCAAGAATTCCCCAAACTAAGTACCTCTGAGTACCCAACTAGACCTGTTTCTATTTCTAATAGTTTTCACTGCAAAAAAAAATTCGGATCTGACAAAGCACTCTTGGGACCTCTTGCTGTTGTGTGGTGGAATTCTGCGGCAAATCGACAAAGAGAGCTTGGTTAGACATAAACTTTCATTCCTTTGGGGCCTTCTTTTTATAAAAACTGCTGAGTTTACTGGTGCTATCTTGACAAAAACTGTTGAGATTAAATACCTCTCCTAATTATTTAATAAATAAATGACATAAACAGAGAGGGAATTTTGGCCAAGGTGCTTGTTACTTGATCAATAACTAATAAACGACTCGCGTCTAGGCTGAGACAACAGTGATCTCAGAGGTTTGTTTTATGTGAGAAGAGAGGAGCATTTCCCTTTTCATTATTTCATTTGAAATACTATAAAATGATACAAGAGTGTGGAGATTTCAGTACACAACAGACTGATAGTTGTGCAAACCATATGTGTTTACTGGTTGCATTAGATCTAATACAATACACTAATCAAGCTAGAATTCTTATACTGCGATGCAAGGATATTTTTGCCCTGAAAGGCTGATGAATTGTTTTTCAATACAATGAACTGTTCCAAATATTTGCTCATAAATCTTGTTTGTCCTTAAAAATTAAGTATTTTCTCAGAGATTTTTACAGCTTTTATTAGAATACTGGAGTTCAAAGAATATGACATAGTCAAATCAGGGAAAGCACAAATAAATCACTTTTTCTGTTGCCATAGGAAGCTGTTGTCTCTATGAGGTTTAGCAAAGAAAGGACCTAAAACCCTGGGGAGTCATTGGGAATTTTTCTAGTCTTCAATACTTTTTGAATTAGACTCTGAGTAAACTCAGGGTAAAATCAGTATTCAAAGGATCAGCATCTGCAGGGGAATTCTGAGAGGCTGTCAGTAAGAACAAGGAACATGTAAATGCTGGTGTTCATCTATGGATGCCACACTTTCTGGATAAACAGAGGATTTATTTTACCAGAACTATCCATATGCCTTTTAAGAGAAACAGAACCAAGATGCAACAGGTTAGTGAAAAGAACCCAGCCAATAGCCTAGATTTCTACAAAGGGACGGGCAATGTGAGCTCTTTGTGTGCCTGTCACGTTTAATCACCTTCTCTCCTTGACAATTATCTTTTAAATCTGTTCATAAATTTCAAACAAATTTGACAGAGAAGCAGTTGACTGAAAGACAATCATTATGAAAAAAACAGATAGGCAACTGGCCATAGGAGCACTTCTTCCAAACCAAAATACTCTAAAACAATTGTGTTGTTATTAACTTCATGGAGATCAAGTTTCTAATCTGAAAAAAATCAGAAAAGTTTTCCAGATTTCTTTTGTACGCACTGAAACTTACTGAATGCCTTCAGGTCTTTATTCACTCATTCTAAAATTATAATAATAGCTTTGAGAGACTTATATCTATAATTCAGTGAATACTGTGATTCTACATTATTTACATCACAAGACTGGTGCTATTGTAATTCTTGTATTCAGAACATATATATATTGTTATGTTTAACTTTGTAATGTGTGTTAATACAAAATTGAAACATATTTTGGTGAATACATACTTCTTCAGGTTCATAGTCTCCCAATAGCTTTTTTTCTAGTGATAAAACACACAGTGTTGGGCATAGTAGAAATGTACTTACAGTTAAGCATAATATACCTACTGTTTACTCTATGCAGTTTCTGAATTCTGTTTTTTCTTCTGAATGAGCCTGTTCCTGAATTAATGCCATAAGGATGTCTGTATCATGAGCAACTATGTTTTAAAGAGAAAATTATGTTTGAGAAGTAAATTTAAGAAAAGTTATAGATCTGCAAATAGATATACAAGAGGAAGAATGAATTCAAGCAAGAGTGTCAGCCCACAAAACTGAATTTGAGTATGATTCCTGATTTAAAGGAGAACGTGAAAAAAGAAGTCATTGTCCCTCAGTAACCTCAGTCACCTTCATTGAAGACACGCAGATGTCATGTCAGTTCTCCTATTTTATTACCTTTTAAGAAGCTATGCTGCTTGTGAAATGGACAACTCTTCTACTACTCTAATTCCATTGCTTAACTACTATCCTCTACATAAGTACACAATTAGTATAAGGTTAGAAGACAAGAACGCAATAGGATTTGTTTGTTTATTTTTAGAGTGTTGAGATAATGTATTTTTTTGGTCAGAAGTAGTCTTAATGCATAGGAATTTGGTATCTGAAGTATGGGATATAAGCCAAATAAGCACAATAATATTTTATTCATACAGAAGAAATTTTCAGGTAAGTGTAAATATATTTTTACTTTAATCTGCATCTTCTTCCTTGGATTATGCTACAAACTTCTTCCTGGTGATGTCAAACTCTTCAGTGAATCACCACTGCTCTCTCAAATTATTCACGGCAATCTAAGAAAGATGTGTCTTCCCGAAGACTGAAATGTCACAGCATAAAAAGCCAAAGCAATCAAGCAAATGCCCAACACAGATCCTCAGGTGGGGTCTGGAATTGGGTATGCTCTCAGTTAGGCAATACCTATGCGTGAATACCATTCAGGAGATGCTTCAGGAGGGGGACACCTGTTCAAAATCTACCAGCCTGAGAACTGTGACAGAGAGAAAGCCATCCACTGCCTCTGCGTACGTACCTACAGCCACAAGAACGCGGGCATATGAAAGGACAGTCTCCCTAGCCCTGCTGGATACATATGCAAACGTTTTCAAGTGTGAGCATCTACATTTGGGCAGCAGTTTGAAACTTAAGACTCCAGTTCCATTGCTACAGCACAGAGAAATGAAACAGAGAAATGAAACAGAGAAATGAGAACAGGAAGGTATAAATGGATGAAGAAGGAAACAATGCAGCAGAGGTCTTTGAATAGCAAAGGGGTGAATTCATGATATACAGTATCTAAGATTGAAGGTGAAAAACTAAACAGATTTATTATCTGTTCTTTCATACCATACTGTGTAAAAAGCCTTTTGGTTTCATAATTACAACGTTTCCATGAGGCTTCTATGTGATCTGTTTCCCTGAAACTCAGTAAAACAAAGACCACAGATGGCTTTCTTTGATAAGTACAATAATTGGAGAACAAACTGCATAGTGCTAATTCATTAGTTCTGAGGTTTTCATATGGGTTCTGTAAAAGATGTATTTGGATACAAGTTTGTCTACATAGGATGTGTTTTGAAAATGACAGGTTATTGAATTTGGCTGTAATATATAAAATCCATGTTAATGATATAATCATCAATCATGCTATGATGAGACTATTTAGCTCAACAGAAGGCAAGTAATTCAACCACTGCCTAAGAATTATTTTTAGGCATCAACTGGCAGTGTAACTAATCACTCCGCTTATGTCTGTAATGACTGAATAAACTCCATCTCTGAAACAAATGAATAATACCACTTTGTATTTGCATAGCACTTGCCATCTATAGACCTGACAGTTTTAAAAAGATGGGCAAACACTCACAGTGACTATTTCTAGTGAAAACAGAATGTCCTGAATAAATTGCTACTACGAAGGCAAATCAAAGCCTGCTTGAAAGACACCACTGCATTTAGCTACCAAGATTTAACAGCCAAAATACAGTGAAAACATGTGCTATGCTTATATGAAAGGGTAATCAGGCAGGAAAACAAGTTTTTATAAAAGATACAGCATTGCTTTTTGTAGAAATCTGAGATTAGCTGTATTTGGAACATAATGGTTATATGCCCAGGCCAATCTCTGTTGTCAATTATTAGTCTATGCAGTTGATGTCACCACAGAAAGACTTACAAATATTGACTATTTTTAGCTACAGAATTATTCTCCAAACTCGCTGTCTGAGCGGGGATGACTTCCCATAATGCAGACAGGCTCCTGGCTGAGCTGAGAGGCTGAGGACAGATCTGCTACCTATGCACAGTTATATAGGCAGCTGACTCCAAAACAGATTTAGACAATATGTAAGTACAGAGCAAACTGTGCCCAGATGTAGCAGGTCCCATTTCTTACTAACTTTGTCTCTGGGAAACCAGCCACAGCTTACTATCGTAGGCATGAAGGAACAGAATTAAAGTGGCCTGGCAGAACCAGAGCTGGCATGCTGCTTTTGGCTCTCCACAGATCTTAGGCAAAACCATCTAAGAAAACCCAGGAACTAGAACTGGCTTGACCTAGAGGAGAAGAGAGATCTGTTTTCTGCCTTTGGGTTGCAGAGTAGCTTGCAGAGTGACTTGCTGACACTGCTTTGCTTCAGCCTTCTTTCCCACCCTTCTGTAAATAATTTTTCATGCTTTAGCATCTGAAGCCCTCCAAGGCAGGCCTTTTCTTCTTGCTGTATGTTACAGGATAGAATAGTACATACCATGAATGGATCCTGATCTTGAACAGGTTTGTTTCAGTGCCATTCCACCGCAAATGTAACACTAGCAGCTTAACATCTACATATATATGCCAATACTAAGGCTTTCATACAACCCTTGTTAATATTTGCATTGCATCAATAACTCAGACCAGTTCAGTTTAGACAGAAGTGTCTGGGCAACCCAGTTGTTCCAGTACTATAATTTACTTAATTTTTATTTGTGTATTGACACAGAAATTCTTCAATCATTTGCACCATATTTGCTGCTTGTAACATGATTAATTCTTTGTGAAGAGCTGCAGAAAGAACCTTCTGTAAACAGCCATAATAAAATTATTTTACTCATATTCTTACTATGAAGAAGAGAACCCTCCAGCGGAAACTAAGACGCTATCTGGGCACCAAACCATGCCTCAGCCACATCAGGTAAGAAGGGCAGAATACACCTGCACACATACGCATATGTTTTTTTCTTTCAGGGCAGACTGGGGTAAAATTGAACTGAGACTTACAAGCCTTTTTTCTTCTGCCTTGAAGGTAGTGGGATTTTCTAAGCAGGCTTTGAAGGGAGGTAAATTGGGCCTTTCAGGCACTTAGTTTTCAATTCTGTAAACATACATGTGAGTAATTTAATGAAATTTTGCTTATATGGATAAAGTTAAATACAGACATTACAGGATCAAGACCACAGCTGGAACTTTTAAACAGAAAAGCTGTTATACCACTGGTCTAGACTTAGAGAACAGGCACTTGCTGGCAAAAGAAGTGAAAAATAGCTGAAACAGATACAAGCAAACAGAAAAAACATTTCTGTCATGTTGCTATAATCCAGATGGAATAATCTTTAAATTGTTTTAGTTAGCTTTGTATTTTTTGTATATAAAAAGAGCAAAGAGCTGCAAAAATAAATGTTTCTTCAAACAGTCAAATCTTGTGTTTGAAAGACATTGCCAAACGTGTCAGACCTTCTTTGTCAATATAATACAATATAATACACAGGACTGAGTATCAGTCCAGTCTTGTAACTCTCTGAGCAACTAAAATAAAGAGGAAAAATAGAAGGAAAACTCAAAATGTAATATCCTTGTCTTTGCTGGGTGATTCTGAGTGACTGCTACCAACATGCACCAGATACAAGGAATTTTAGTTTCAAGGGTCAACTGCTTCAAGTGCAACTTGTTGGCCACTAAAGATAGGATGTGAGGATTCAAATTGCTCTTCTAGGCCACTTTATTTTCTATCATCAGATTAATCCTCTTGACTCACTGTAACTCCACCCAAATGCTCTACATGCTCGTGTAAATATGCAAGGACTTTTTGCATACACAGCTCACAACCAGTCTTGCTGCTGATACCAGTATTTTCTATGATTTCACTCCTGACAACTGTGGGAGAAACTGCCCTCCCAGGGCACACTTGAAACTTCAGGAAGGCATCAAAACAGTGGCAGAATTAAATTGCTTTCAGCTGAAACTACAGAGCAATAAAGCTTGTGCTTACCTTAATGAGGTCATCCTACTGAGGTCAAGGCACAAATACACTGTACTGTTGGTGTGTGAACTCTATTCTTGTTGGAGCTCCATCCACTTCTGTCTCAGGATAGGCCTCAAGACTAGAACAAATTTTAACTCAGGTGAATTATGTGGTATGGAAAAGCTCTAGATCACCACTGATTTTGTGCTAAAGTTATAGGTCAGTGCCTCACAAGCATGTTGCAAGGCATTCAGTTTACTCCAATTATCAGGCAATAAAATAATTACCCAGAAATGAAAGTCAAGTAACTCCATACATCTAGTACAGACCACTTAAGTTTCCAAGAATAATGAACAGATTAGCTACAAACTTGAGAGTCTATTGATCAGCCCTTTCTGGTAGAAACAGGAGCGTATAAAGTACCTAAATGGCAAATTATCTGAAGAAGAATTTCCTTTTAGTATTTTCAGATGAGAATCAGTTTGCACTGTTTATTAAAAATATGTTCTTCTTCTCCCAAAACTTTCCTCTGTATGATGTTCTATTATATTTTTTTTTATTACATGTTGCATAGCATGATAATTTGGCAAAAGACGTCTCCTCTTTAGGGTCTAGCAGTCTTTAGATATTTCTGTTGAGACACTGATGTCTAGAATCATAAAATATGTCAGTTCTAACATGTTTTGCTTAAATTCTCTTTTTGTTTACAAAGTTTACAGGATGCCAGTAGTGGCTTAGGTGCCTGAACAGGATCTAGCAGTGTTAGTTAATATTTGAGAATCTGGGGCGCAGAGTTTCTTCACCCTGGGACCTTTTATTCTGGGCTAGTGATACATCTGCACTCCAGCAGCTGCAAACCTACTGTGAGGGAGGTGAAGCAAGGGCCAGTGCTCTCTGTCAGGTTCTTCTGGGTGTGTGAGCACCAGTCTGACAGTTTGCAGGGGTGCTGCTGCAGGCCCTTGGGTCATATCCCAAATCTGAAAGACCAAAATTAGACTCAGCTTTTGAAAACATGGGCTGATTTTACATCTCCAGATCCAGCTTCTTGTTTTAGCAAACTTTAATCTGCTTGCCTTTTCCTGTTGTGATGAAATAACACTCCCTGTTTTGACAGTCTCTGACTTTGTGGAATGGAAAGTTAAAGTAAACAATGAAGACCACATTGAACATGCTAATACACAACCTCAAATGTTTCCTTAATTCCTAGGCCTAAACTAGACAGTTTATCCAAACATTTTGTCCTGTTGACTCCTCCTGTCCCCCACAACATCCTGGGTTACTAGATTTTAGATAGGAACTTCTAATACACATAATCCAGATTGAAAGCAGAGTTTCATTAGCACAAACTCCCCTATCACAATTGTAATCTACAGTAAATGAATGCAATTAGCCACACCAGGGTCTCCCCTGAGCCCTCCCCTCCTCCTCAGCCATAAGCTGACACCAGGCTCTTGTATAAAGCTAGCACATGACATTCACTGCAATAGCAGCAGGTTTACAGGGCTTCACTTTACAGGATCATGTCACTGCTTCTCCTTCAGCTGTTAGTGCTGTCATGTCTTGGAGCCGCAGAGCCGCAGGGAGATTCACCACAAAGGAAAAGCAGAAGGCCGTTTCAGCACCTTTTCTACCCAGACAAAAACCTGCTCAAAAGTCAGAGTTTTCGTGAGCTGGTAGGGGAGAAGCCAGTAGGTGTTGATGAAACCCTGGGAGAACCAAGCTTTTTTGTAGCAATTCCACAGACGGCATCTGAAAGTGTGAAGCAAGAGGAGAAAAAAATGTCTAGATTCATCCTTCCCAATGCAGAACTCCATGCAGACCAAGACCTGAGAACCTGGGCAGCACCCAGAGAGATCTCTCCTGCGGAAAACTTCTCTCCATCCCACTATTCCAGCAAGAGCGAGGCTGAAATTCCCTATAGGAAAGATGCCAAGAAATTTTGGGAGCACTTCATGTTAAAGAAAAATTCAGCATCTGAAGAGGTTGTCCTGCCAATCAAGACCAATGAAATGCACCAAGAAAACTGCAGAACCCTGCCTTTTTCCCAGGTAAGAACAGGTGTCCAAGATCAATAAATGTGTCCTTTCCCCTGCCTCTTGTGATCAGCACCTAAAGACACACAAGTTAGTTCATTTGCTAAGTCACAGGGCCACTTCAGAATGCTCACACATAAGCAGCTGAAAAACACTGCTGGAAAAAGCTGAAAAGCCTTTAGTCTGATGAGGTAACTAAATAGCAGCATTAGAAAGCTACACGTTCAATTTTCAGAGAGTTATTTATTCTTCTTATGCAAAGATATTCTGACCTAGCCTGAGAAATCAGGGCAGTAGTAAGTAATTATCTATTCAACGAATACACATCTAAACAGTTTGCATACAGAATTACCTATATATATATGTGTGTGTATACATATACGCATAAGCATATATACAAAAAGAGTCCAGGGCAAGTATTTACAGGAGAAGCTGGTTGTTTTCTTACAGCTAAGCAAGGATTCCTTTCTGCTGTACTAATCACAAGACTGATGTATACATCTAATTCTGTACTAAGAATAATGGACAACTCATGAATTGTCCCATGCACAGATAAAGCTATTCTGTTGTAGTGTAACATAAACACAAGCAAATAGTATAGGTGAAAGTGCTGTATTCTTCATAAGGCAACATCTGTTCTCAGTGTTTCTATAATTATGGTCTGTTAAAGACCGTGTTTTTTCACATCCCTCACTAAATCTATGTCACTGGCAGACATACGTAAATATAGATGTGGCCTAGAAGCTTGCACCATCTTACTTTTCGTGCCATGTAATACCACAAGCTTTCTCCAGTGTGGCTGCAGTTATGCCAATACAAAAGTGATAACTTCAGTTTAACTTTTTACAGCTTGGGAGTTCATATCGGCTCTCCCGATACAAGGAACCATTATCCTTGCAAGCCAAGAGATTACAGAACTTCCACTGCAATTTTAAGATTTTCATTAGAAAAAAACTGCTAAAGAACATTATACCTTTTCTACATGCAGATAGATCTTCAAGATTACAGTTGAGTCTAGCTTGTGGCTTATATATAAGCACATTAGGCCAAAAGGATGTTTTAAGTCCTGCTAAGTTGGTAAGACTGCTTAACCATGTCAGAAACGTAGAACTCAAAGAGCAATCAAAAGGTAAATATGACAGACCCACCTACTGGATCTTCTCCCATCAGCTCACAAAGGCTTATATTGAAGCAGATTTTGTCTTTGTTCAACCTAAGAAATACCCATAAAGTTTGCTTTTAAAAGCTCTTATGTTTTACTGCTTGATTGACATTAAAAATAAATGTGTTTAAAGTAAATGTTCTGAGAAGAAAAAATATGGTATTTTGGGGTTGTTTTTGCCTTCATGCCTTCTAGAAAAGTCCATGGGCCATTCATGTACCAAGAGACTCAAACTGCTTTTTGTTTCAGGGTGTTACTCACGAGAACTGTGAGAAGGTGATGATACAGAACAATCTGTGTTTTGGAAAATGTAGTTCCTTTCATGTTCCTGGTCCAGAAGATCGTCTTTACAGCTTTTGTTCTCATTGCTTGCCCAGCAAGTTCTCCATGAAGCGCCTGTATCTCAACTGCACCAGTTCTGTACCGGTGGTCAAAGAAGTCATGATTGTAGAAGAGTGTAAATGTGAGACTCAGAAGGTTAAAGACCCTGCAATTGGATCTCTGCTGTCAGACTTGCATGCAAATGTACATGAGCACAATTAACCTGTGCAAAGTCCTTCTGAACTCCTTGATCGTAAGAATTTGCCAACAAAAAACCCACAGAACTAAAGCTTTCGTCACACTGGTACGTAAAAATATTAAAGATGCAGACTTTCTATTTGGACTGCTTCTCTGCTTCAATAACAACTTTACCTAAAATATAACAGATGTTTCCTTGCAGCTGTGAAAGACATGGAGATGAGATTACTGGGTTTATGTGTAGAGTTCTTACTTTAACAAGGGAAACCTTTAAAAATTTTCCACCCTTCCTATCACTGTTTATAGGATGCTAATAGCTGAAGAAGTAGCATAACTCAGCTGTGCAAAATCCTAACTTATTGGCTGGTTTACATTGCCCCTGCTTGCAGGGACTACCAATATAGTGCTGTTGGCAACACAGATGAGGCTTCAGTCTCCTCCTTGCAAAAACAGGTCTACTTTTACATCAAGATAGTGATTGGAGAGTGTAAAATATAAATGGACATAAGGCAGATAGAGAGCTATGACTAGTTAAGGTCATTCTGATTGCACCCAGCTGGAGTTCAGTTCCCTACGAAAACTAATATACCTCACAATTTATACACTTAGACCGTGGTTGCAAAGGGTATTTTGCCATAGAAACAACTTACTGTGCTTCTACATGCCTGCATTTGCTCTGCATGTTTTTTTATTGAAAGTGTTACGTAATAGAAGAAGAAAAAAATATTAAAAAAGGTATACTCCCACAGAAAACATCATAGATTAATAGATTGTTATTATTGTTACTATTTACACTTACTGTGGAAAGACAATGCACGTTTTCCAGTCTGATGAATTTTAACATTGTCAGTGACACCAAGATAAAATTTAGGCAATGTTCTCAACACCTAAACTGAAGCAGAAAAGGCATTAATGTGACAGAAAATCGCAGGAGGATTTTATCAGCATGGCAATACCTACACAGCTGAGAAAACTCTGTTAGGAATGGTGTGAGTCTAGTGCTAGTCAACACAGCACCAGTGGCTGTCAACTGAACTGCTGGCTCCTCTGCTCTCTCCAGCTGCTTCTCCCTGGATTTGTCTTGCAGACATGGCACACCAGACAGTGATCAGCTTCCAGCAGCTAGGCTTCAGCCCATCTCCAACCCAGCTCCTTCAGTCCTCTGAGAATCTGCTCCACTGCTATTGCCAAACTCTCAGACCTGGGCCCCTGTTGTTAAACTATTCACAGCTCTTTTTTTGGGGTATTGACATAGCCGGTCAGTTCAAGGGTTGGGTAAATGATTCCTTGTATTTGAGCTGCACAGTGATCAGAAGTGTCTTAATTTCCTGTCAAAAATTTTGTTTGGTATGGCTTTGGAGTGCAAGGTCCATATTTAATATTTACTGAAAATTGCATCTGAATGATATTCTGATACTGGATCTGAACTGCTGCAATAGCTGTTTGCTTCTGCAGGTCATGTGCAGTGAGTGAACTGAAGATTAGTATATAGTTATATTTCATTATATCTAAGCCTGTTTTTAAATAATAAAAGTTGTGTACTGAAACTGAACAAAGCCTTCTCTCCATCCTTTTACACTACAGACTGATGTGCAAACTGTATGTGGCTGTTTGTACACTCTGGCATGATATATGACGCCATTCCAGTAACAAGCTGTCAAGGTCTTATCATCGCTGTACTGAACGCAATAAAGGAAATACTTTAATATTTATTCTAGCTTTATAATGCTCATAGCTGTTCTCAGGATGCTAATGCAATGAACTAGCACCCAGATTCAGAAATGTACCTTCACATACCAGGCTGCATTAGGCATCAGTTTATGACCAAAGAAAGAAAAGCTTTTCTAACAGGCAAAGTAGCACCAGCTAGCAACCGTATAGTTTCAGAGAACAAAGTATTTCTCTATTTCTCATGCTTTTTCAGTAGAGATTCCTCCTCACTGTCCAATTGCATAGTCAGCCCTAACGATGGGTGCTTTGTTAAAGCATGCTATATGCAAGTGGAAAAGCTAAGAAACAGCTCCTTGCCTTACCATAAGGTACAAACCTCAGCAACTTATCAACACTTTGTGAGTTATTGTGTGTGATTATTAGTGTTCATTTTTAATCATGCCCGAGGAAGAAAAGCACACAAAGCATCAAAGTTTCTAAGTTTTTTCTCTTTATTCCCAACTTTGTTGTTTAATCTAAAAAACCTAAATCTTCCGGGCTTCTAACTACTCCTTTTTTAAAGCTGTGTGAATATATTAGAATGTTTGTCTGCATTTTTTTTTCTGAAATGCAAGTACTTAGGTTTGATACTTGCAGAGCACCACTTGAAGGTAGGACCTACATACGCTCCCAGTAAGATCACAAATCTATTAAAAAGAAAAATCTTCCAGTCTTGTAATTTCGACATGACTGACTGCTAAACTGTGACTTTTGCACATAAGGATGGCAGAACTGAGGCTGTATTGTGGATTGTAGAGTATTCAGCCTAATTTTTAAAGCTGCTTCTGTGTGCTGAAGCATTTCTGGAGTCGAAGAAAGCTATTCATGTTGGGAGTTTGCACGATCAGGTTCTTTGTGTGAATTTGCACAGCTTAAAAGTAGGTGAAAAGAGGTAATGACAGCTGTAGTAATTGCTAATTAGATTAGTGCTGTAGGGTTTTTTTTATAAATGTTTAATTAACCCAGCAATGCCTGGTTGGATGTAATTAGCACAGTATTCTGCAAAATCAGGAATGTGCTAATTGGATCAGATTTCTCAGCCTCTAAAAATTCCATATTAGGAATAAGTTATACGAATTTTGCTCTCTTGGATCAACTATGATGGCCTCTAGTAGCGTAATAGTGTGGGCTAGAAAAGTGAGGGGTGTCATCTATATCACTATATGGATGTTTTCAGCAGTAATGCCATTATAGCAGCAAATCTGCATGACTTTAGTTGTGTCCATTCAGAGGTTGCATGCTTTCTGTAATGAAAGCTTTCCCACTGTAACTATGCTTGCAATGTAAGTGCTGTTAATGTGATCTCCTCTATTTCAGAGCACTCCTTGTGCAAACCTATCTTACAGAAGAAGCCTAAGCCATAGCCGCAGGGCTTTCTGAAAATTCAGCTCAATCCCAAGAGGAGTTTGTATACGCTCCTGCCATTTTATTTGACCTACTGCCTCTCTTCCAAATGGATGTGCTTTACTTTGAAAATAATTGAAGAGAAGTGCTGTTTATTTTAATTGCTTAAGCAACATAAAACTTCAGTATAGGCTATTCTCTTAAATAAGGATTTTGTGCAACTGGCTTTAATGCCAGTAATTACAGCAAACACTAGAGTTACATCAAACTTTTATCAAACTCTCTACAACCATATATTCCAGGGAAAAGTCTCTGAAGTTGCACTGAGTACTTCATGCTGTGCTTGGTACTTTGTTCATCATTTATGAAATACTCAAAGCTAACCTCATGGCTGTCAGCTAACAAGTTTTAGCACGTTTTACTGACAGTCGGTGAAATCTCTTGTGGTACTTTGTCTTAAATGTACCAGCTCCTTGCTGCAATTGCACGACAATGAGATTCCCTAGTCAGAGAGAAGCTCCCTGACAGCCTGTACAGCTGCATAATCACATCATGTCTGGGAGCGACTGCTGTGCAGGAGGACAGTGCATGTGAAGAGGTGTGGAGTTGAGGCTACCTCGGGCCCTCCATCAGGCAGCTTGCCAGTGGGAACAGGAAGCACTGATAGCGAATTACAAGTATTTTGCATCTGCTGTTTTGCTGAGCCTAAATCCTTGAATATCTGGTATGCAGCCACCAACTTCAGCTCCCCTGAAATCTCTCCCTGGCAGCTGTGCGCGCTCCCTCTGCTCAGATGAGAAAGAATGGGGATGAGAACACTCTGTAGTTGGCCTGCTGCAGGAATATTGATAAAAATTATATTGGCCACACTGAGAATAAAATCATACTGTTTACAGTGCCTTGTGCTCTGTGGTACCAGCAAAATGCACTTCAACTTGAAACACAAAATAATGGACCAAATGCTAAGATCAATAATAATAATAATAAATGTCAAGGCCAGCCTTATGTTTCTCTGAGGCATTTTCATTTTGCTGGTTTAGAGTGTTGCTATTACAAGCCCTTTCACCCAATATTCTGCTGATGGCTGCAGCCTGTGGTCAGGGTGTTCCAACAAAACAGGCATGTACCTAAGCTGCCTTTCTGAACAAGGCAGCATCTCGACCCTCTGCTGCAGCTGGTTCAAGCTCACCTCACACCACGACAGATGCGGAAGCATTCAAGCAGTCTGTTGCCCTGCCTGGACTTCAGACAGCAACTCCTGGAGGGAGAGAGGCGTTAGAAGACCTAATGCTAGGACATCTGTGGCTGGACTTCATCTGAGCAGAGCTCCTCACAACACTGAAGTGCCTTGGATGAAAATTAACTCCCTAAATTAGAGTATTGCCTGGTCTAGCACAGCCCCCAGGTAACCTATCTGGGCTGGGGGATCAGTAAATTTCACCACGCCTACTACTGAGGCAGACAGATCGGAAAACATATCTTGACTTTGATCTTTCTGGTGACTGGGACAGAGAGAAAATGGAGCCCGAGAAACCTTTTCCTTTACTTCAACACCTATTGCCTCTTCCTCAGTATGTGACATTGAGGCTGACAAAACTTCTGGGCCCAGACAGGTTTTATTTCAGCACAGCATATCATTAACACAGACTTCTGTTTTCATGATGTGAAGAATTTTGCTCCCATTCTAGTTAGGAAGTGTCTCCTATGTACATTGGCAAGGTTTCTAAGGAAGTGAGCGATGCAACGGTGCTGCAGAAAAGAAGTGGCAGTAACAAACTGCACAATTTAGAAGGACCCAGGAAGATGAGCACTGTTGAGAAGGCTGATTTCTCGTCCCAGGAGTTAGGTGTGCACAGACAGCGTCCCTTCTGCACATCAATCCAGGGGCACCACTGGGCTCAAAACCAGTCCTGGAAAACAGTCTCATGAAGCATGGGGCTCATACACAGTAAGAATCATGGGAGGCACAG